CCAATTTCTCGGCCAGAAAAGATCAATTTTGTTTATGCTTTTAAAATAATTTCAGAGTAATCATTTGATTAAAAGTGTTGCGGAATTTTTGTTCCCAAAAAAACATGATAAATATGTTATCAAATCATTTCCGAAGAAATGTATTTTATTCACTTAAACCATTGGGATGTCATTGTCAATACAAAAACATAAGCATAAACAAAACTTACATTCATTTACACTAGTGATCTACTTCTCTTTTAATCTCTCAGTGTAAAGCAACTTCGTATCGATACCTGTGATACAATTAAACTGAGTGGGTCAGGCTTGGGAGCCTGGTGAGCATATAGGGTTTTCAACCCACAATAAATAATAAACTTATTAAGCTCTCAATCAACAATAAATTTATTAATTTCATCAACCAAAATAACCCTAATTACCCATTCTCATTATCCTCACTTTACGTCCCTAAAACAACTATCACAAGGGACCTAGCCTAAGGATTATCACTAGGGGTGACAACATTGCTTTGGGGGTTCCTCAGCAAGTTATGTCAAATAAAACAAACATCGGGGTGACAACATTGCTTTCCCTCAGCAATTTATGTCAAACAAGACATCCTAACATAAAACAACCTATAAAGTGACAACATTGCTTCCCTCTGCAATTTATGTCAAATAATGTTATGTCAAATAAAACAAACATCGGGGTGACAACATTTCTTTCCCTCAGCAATTTATGTCGAACAAGACATCCTAACATAAAACGACCTATAAAGTGACAACATTGCTTCCCTCTGCAATTTATGTCAAACAAGACATCCTAACATAAAACAACCTATAAAGTGACAACATTGCTTCCCTATGCAATTTATGTCAAATAATGTTATGTCAAATAAAACAAACATCGGGGTGACAACATTTCTTTCCCTCAGCAATTTATGTCGAACAAGACATCCTAACATAAAACGACCTATAAAGTGACAACATTGCTTCCCTCTGCAATTTATGTCAAATAAGACATGAAGTCACATCGTCGCCATGTGCTAAGTTCATAGCTCTTATTCATCAACGGTATTTCCCACGGGAGTTCCCCCCCCTCGCAATTCATGTCAATGGGTTTTCGACAGTATTTCCCACGAGAGTCTCCCCCCGCAATACATGTTAATGGGTTTTCCCAGTCATACATGCCCTAAAGGCACCCATGAGGGGGATAGAGTACAGTGAATGAACACTCAAGTTCATTAACACCTACAGGTTGCGAGCCTGCTAGTGTTCCACAGACCGTCTAGAACAGTCCATGGTTGTCATCCATACTCTACTGAATGACGGGGGTCAACGTTTGGGTAAGGGCTTTTCTCATATTGCACCACTCACGCCAACGTTTGGTAAGGGCTTTTCTCATATTTCACCACTCACTCTCAACTCATGATCTATATCATTGATCATCTCATCTATCCAACTCACCTTTCATCACACACCCACTATTTAACTCATGATCTATATCACTAACTCATGAAGCTCGTCCGATCACTTCATAAAATAAACAAAGAGTCCAAAGCTCTTCAAAATAAAAGTATAGGGAAAATACTGATAAAGTACTCCCGTACGCTCCCGTAGCCCGACACGTAATAGTGTCAAAAAGAAGAACTAACGGATGAACACATAGTTCAAAAACACCTAATGAACATATAGTTCGAGAACACTTTATGAACATATAGTTCAAACATACGTACCGACTACAAGTCTGCTAACGTTCCACTTGACGATCTAAAATAGTCTGTGGCCGTTGTCTATACTCTACTAGATGACTAGATCATCTTAAACATCGATACCTCTCATCACTTTTATTTCATCACACATCATCTAATTCATCTACCCATGTTTTACCCAACATATTTGTAGATAAAAATACATATACAGTTTAAAACTTGTATAAAACATCTATTCAACAGTCACCTTAATTAAACAATTAATATAATTACACATAGCACGTATTTTAAAGAAAATACTTCATATATATGTGTAAGGTGAAAGTGACTATACACTCACATGATTTAACAATAACCGGGCATCACTTCGTTGCCTAAAACGATCGTTTCTAATAAAACCGGGAGTTTTATTGAGAAACCGGGCTCTGCGAGGGGTCGGGCTTCGAAACCGAAAAGATAAATTTTCCGGGCTTCTCGGGCACTTCGTGGCGTATTCCGGGGGTTATAATTGATACCGGGGCTTCGGCGGATGATAAAATGAAAGAAATATGGGTTTAGGGGCTAAAAGTAACAATTTTCCAAAATATACCCGGGAGGTCTTGCACCCTCCTATTTATAGGTGCGAGCCTCCTGATCCTACGGCTGAGAAGGCTCCAGGTGGCGTAGATCCGAGGGCTTGCAGCACCTGCTCGCACGTGGGCTCGCACGTGGCTGCGCATGCGAAGGGTCTGCTGGAGGCTTCTGATTGGACCACTTCAGACAGCTCTACGGTTCGGACATGCTGCTGATGACACACCGAGATCGGACACGGGACAGCCTCCTATTGGACCGAACCTCGGACTCGAGAAGGACATGACACGCCTCGCCAGGTGGCTTTGATGACTCATCAGATTTCGGACACGCGTCGGATGCGAAGCGAGGACACGTGGCCGAAGTCCACGTGTGCGAAATTCCTCGGTTTTGGGGATTTTTCTCGATTTTCGCACCAAAACTTCTAAAATCCATAACTTTCGCATACGAGCTCCGTTTTTGACGTTCTTTATATGCACGCGTAGGTAAAATTACGCTCTACAACTTTCGTTTAGACTTCGTTGGCTAATTTTGATTTTAATTTTTATATTATTATTTTTAACAGACCGGGACAGGAAATCCGTTAAAAATTCATAACTTCTTCATCCGATGTCCGTTTTCATCAGACTTTTACCGTTGTGCTACTATTTACAAGACCTTCGATTCTCGTTTAGGTTGTGTCGGCTAAAAATCACTCGATCTAAAATTCGAGTTTTTAGTTGTCTACTGCTAAGCCGAAACTTCGAAAAATCATAACTTCCTCATACGAAGTCAGATTTGGGCGTTCTTTTTATACCTACTATCGGTTTAACGAACACTACGAGTTTCGTTTAGATTACTAAGGCTAAAAAGTAGTTTATCAAAAACTCACTTTTTACGACATTCGGCACCGTGCCGGTTTTGTCGTGAAACTTCGACATGTCATAACTTCTTCGTTATAACTCGGATTTCGGCATTCTTTATATATCCGTAATCCTTGTCACGACCACTACAACTTTCTTATTAAATATCGGCTTTATTTAATATTAAATTTTGACGCTCATTTTTATTCTTAATTAATTAAACCCTAATAATTAAGCATAAAACACATAATTGACATAATATTCACATAATTCGTTTTCATTTCTTCTAAATGAGTTACAAAGGTTAACCTAGACTATCATGTCAACATTAATGCCTAGCCTAGAAACACGGGCATTACAGATTGTCCTTATGGCTAACCCCATTACTTTTGGTGCATTAAATTCGATCATGTGAAAGGTATGCGAGGGAAAAATCGTCTTTTACATAGTACGTTGGCCATTCATGAAGTTTTTGGTATTGGTGTATCAAATATAGCAACAATTTCCCTAAAATCTCGGAAAACCCGCTGCATCTTTCTTTACAAAAACAAGGTCGCCACTCCCTCCCTCTCGCCGCCATCCAATTCTAGTATGAAGTTGCCATTGTTGCTATGATGGATCAGAAAATGGTGTAAACATGTGTGAAAGGAACAAATGAGGGGGCAAATTTACTGTTGAAAGGATAACGATACTTATGATCCATTAATGAGTTCTTCTTTGAAGTGAAGATACTCAAGAACATAATTCTTCAACTACCAGTGCATTCATATTTACTCTTACATATTCCTAAACACCAGGTCTATACGGATCGCAGTCGTAACCCATGGAGGCAACACTATTGCTTCCTATCAATTAAACAAAAACAGAGGAACAATCGAATGAATGATGATTGTCTATTTTGTGTGTTTATTCGATCATATACCTATGTGGAATTGAGAACTTCATGAAAAGCACCATCATGAAGGTTGGTATCCTCCTTGCAAAATACATCAAATGCATCCATGCGTTGGTGAGGTTTCAATATTCCTTTTCAATGACTCTCGATCCTTGAGAATATCATATTAGAAACACACACTGGTAAATTTCTCTTTATCACGTCTCTCATATAACATATGACATCTATGTATGGTATTAGATGCATAAATCAGTAACATACTTTTGTTTGTCTTCTAAAAAATTCTCAAAAACTGAAGAATAGTAGTTGTAATTCTGTCTAGCCCACGAACTCTTGTTGCCTCCTTCATTCTGCTCCTGCTTATGTTCTCCCTTGATAACAAACATACCATCCTCGACATACACCTTAGGTCTTGCTTGGAGAGTCCCGTAACGTCAAATCTCATATTGATTTCATTTTTAACATCCATTATGTCCAACATTTTCCTATAGAACTTGGATTTTCTTTATTGAAATTCCAAAAACAAAGACCATGAATCAACAGATACCGAGTAGTGAACAATAAATCAAGCAATTTTTTTTTTTAAATTCTCTTTCCCCCATACCTTCCTTTCAAGTGACACAACACAGTTGCACCGTGCTCCTTACCATCAAATCTTTGTTCAAATAGATCAGAAATGATAGCGCGTGAAGTGGATAAGCTACAGTGGTGTGGTACTTGTGATTAGAGATTCGAGGATGAGAGATGGTGTTATGGAAATCAGATCGGAGACAGAGTTCTTCGTTCTTCACATGATCAAATTTAACATGTTAAAAGTGATGAAGTTAACCATAAAAAGAGTCCATTAAAAATTTTCAAATCAAAGAAATCATCCTTAAAGACAAAAAAAAAAAAAAAAAAAAAACAAACTCAGATTTTTTTAAAAACCAAATGAACCATTTTTTAAAATTCTTTTCTTTATTTAACTAAACTAACCAAATTTCTTGTTAGTTGACTTCATTGAATGGTTTACAAAAGATTCCTAAAACTTTCAAGAATTCAAGGGCAAAACAAGTGGCGGCAAATAATCGCCCATGGTTACGGCTGTGGACGAGACACACCAGTCATGAAAGACGACCCACGGGAGCCAGACAATCATCAATTAATCAGACGATTAACCTTCAACGTAACCTAATTTTCCCAAAAACTGATTGATCAATTTGTGTACAATCTTTTTGATGGCAGTTGCTTCCCTTCCGTCGTTCAATTTGACTCTTAAATCTTCACCACTTTCTTTTGGATTTGATATCGGCAGGAGCAAGCATATCGTTGGTTCATCGTATGCTAAGTTTGCATCACTGAAAAAGAATCGAGATGGAGGACTTCAGATTTCTGTTTGTAAAGCAGCTTCTTCTTCCTCCCCTTTATTCTTTCGTGATCTTGACGCCGATGACTTTCGACATCCTCTTGACAAGCAGGTACTTCGATCGTCAGTTTATAATTATCTTCTGTTGTGTATAAATTATTAGGATTATTGTTTATCTTGTTGTTTCCCCCCAATACTCAGCGTTCCAATTAGTGGAAGATATCATAGTATTCATACACTACATCCATGAAGCATGTCGTATCCTTCATCTTCACAAATTTAGTGAACTCTAACTCTAATTGTACATGGAGCGCATTTGTAAAAACCTTTTCATTTGTTCTTTCAGAATACGCTGCTTTTGAGGGCGATTCCGGGTCTGAACGAGATTGGGAAGGCTTTATTAGGTAAGAGTACGCAATATATGAGTTTTCCATATTGATTACGCTTTAACGCTTTTCACTACTTATTTGTTTGATCTGCCATGAAATTCACATCTTCCATACTTACACAAAATTATGAACGAATTGCTCACACTTACAATTTCTTATGCAAATTTGTGGTGTATCTAAGACTTTCACAAACTTGTAACTTCTCCTCACATTACTCACAACAAATTGAGTTCAACTGAGCAAAGTAATGGCTTCAAAGCACATGAAACATGTATCTTTCTTCTAAAGATTGAATTCAATGTGTGATATGCTCTTACTTTTTCGTTTGCTTTTGTTTTAGGGATCTTTTAGTTCTTCATTGTTATCTTTTTTAATCTCAAATATCACATTGAATTACAGGAAGCATAGCAGAACAAGTCATGGTTCTTGAAAATATAGGGACCTCTGTTCTTGTATCCGAAAATCAGGTGAACTTTACATATCTGTATCCACATCAGCAAAATACTACAGAAGAAATCAGAAAAAAAATGTAATTATTAACATGTCAAAAATTGGTTTAATTTTTTTTTTTTTTAGCTTTCAGAACTTCATCAGTTAATGATACAAGCAGCAGAAGCACTGAAGATTGAAGCTCCTGATTTATATGTAAGGCAAAGTCCAGTTCCTAATGCATATACTTTAGCCATTAATGGTAAAAAGCCATTTGTTGTTGTTCATACAAGCCTTATAGAGCTTCTTTCAAGAAAGGAGTTGCAGGTAAAAAAAATTTATTCTCTTTTTATACTTTTCTCCAAAAAGTTTATTTTTTATATATATGTTAATGATATTTAAGAAAGTATGTTAACATTAATAAACAGGCTGTTTTGGCTCATGAGCTTGGACACTTAAAATGTGATCATGGTGTTTGGTTAACAGTTGCTAATATTCTTACCCTTGGAGCCTACACAATACCTGGTATGTATCTATTAATATTTTTTATAACCTTTTAATGTAAATATCATGAAATCTTGAATTTTCTTCAATTATGTGTTATCTTAAATGTGGAATTTTACTAATTCAGGCATGAAATTGAGTTTTTTTTTTTTTTTTTTTTTTTTTTTTTTTTTTTTATCTAAAACTTGTCAGAAATGACAAATATTATATTTTCCTCTCATTGTATACTATAACATATTTAGTGTGCTTTGTTAATTTCATTCCTTAGGCATGGGATTTAAAAAAAAAATGTAAATTGTAATATAACCCATATTTTGTTTACAATGTTTTTGAATGACTAATCTTTTTAAGAATTTCATACTTTAATTAAATTATAATTTTATCTTTTAGAAACCAACCAGAAAATGAAAATGTTAGATTAATGTCCTTGCATATAGCTAATTATTTGCAAATTTGGTCCACAAAAGTTTTATTTTGCAATTTTGGTCCTTTTTTGAGGTTCCAGTAATGTTTTTGGTCCCTGTTCCATGTATAATGATCATTTTGGTCCCTGTGTATAGCTGAATTTTGCAATTTTAGTCCCAAAAATAATCATTTTAATTGGAACACAGACTAAAAACGTTACAGGAACCTCAAAGAAGGACAATATTTCAAGAACACTTTTTTCGAATCAAAATTGAAAAAATCGGGACCAAAAATGTAATCTACTCTTTTTATTATAAACTTAATTGGTGTTTATTGAGTTTTTTTCTATATCAATGTTTTTAGTTTCCTATAGTAATAGATTATATAGTTATAAATTTACAATTACATAATAAGTAAATTACAATAATGGTCCCTGTGCTCTTTGATTTATACTCCACTATATTCAATCCAAAATTGAAACCTTTCTCAAGTTTCAAGGGACCAAAATCGAAATAAACTTTTAAACAAAAGAACCAAAGTTGAAAAAACTTATAGTTTTGGACTAAAATTTAAAATAACTAAATTATGTTTTAGGGATTGGTGGAATAATAGCGGAGAGATTAGAAGAGCAGTTATTTCGTTGGCTTCGGGCAGCAGAGCTTACGTGTGATCGGGCAGCTCTTCTTGTTGTTCAAGACCCTAAGGTATACACAATGTGCAACTTTTACCCCTCTAATTATTATTTTTTTTTTATCTTTTATAATCGTTGTTTCGTGGGTCCCACAAGAGGTGGTCATTTCTGTTCTAATGAAACTTGCGGGAGGATGCCCGTCATTGGCTGATCAACTCAATGTGGATGCTTTTCTTGAGCAAGCCCGATCTTATGATAAAGCATCTGCAAGTCCCGTTGGATGGTATATAAGGTAATTTTTAAAACATTTTAAAAGACAATTATGCCCTTGTTTATGTTTTTTGGTATGGAATCATAAAGGAATGGAATGAGTGATTACTTTCCGGTGTCATGTTTGGTTGGCTAAAAGAAATGGGATGAGTTACTCATTGTTTGTTGTGTATAATTAGAATTTGTTGTGTATAATTAGAAATTAAATGGAATTAATTTGATAAATAAAGAAAAATGTTATTTTGTAGAATTTTTTTAGGGTTAATTTCATAAAAGATTTTTATATTTTGTGTTTTTTTTCTGGATTAAACCTCAACTTTATTTTTTTCATGAAAAAGATCTTGTATTTTATTATTTTTTCCGATGTGGACCTTTTAATCATTTTTCTCTAAAAATAAGTTGTAAAATGTGAGGGTTTTTTCAGGAAAAACTAAAAAAGTTGAGGATTTATTTGGAAACATTTAAAAGGGTGAGGGTTTTTTCTTTCGGAAAAAATATATGGTATTTTTTATGAAAAAAATAAAGATGAGGTTTAATTTGGAAAAAACACATAACATAAGGTTTTTTGAGATTAATTTTTTTATAAAAAAAATCAAATAATAAAGATATTTCTAAATTAATTACATGCAAACATATATAAGAGAATTTGAAATATATAGTCTGCGACTGTCGTATAAAAATGCAATCTTCCTACCTATTTTAAATAATGACAAGTGTCATTTAATTTAATTTAAATTTTATTGAGATGTTAAATTTGTACGCATGTCATCATCTTAAATAGGTAGGAAGAAAAGTAGGAACATACGGTAGGAAGATATTTAATTTCTCATTTGGAATATATGTTACTTCATTTTTTTTAAGAAATAAAATAAATAACATGAAATTGAAAACAAGATTACATTAAAAAAGTAGTTATTTTGGGAATATGACAAAAATCAATTTACTTTAGGTTTTGAAATATTCTAAAAACAATTATCATTGAATATGATAATAAATAGCGAATGAGTCAATATTGTCCAGATAATAAATTGTTGTTTGAATAAATAACGTTTAAAAAGTATTTAAAAGATGTGACAAAATATAAATGAGGGGCTAGCACTTAATGGGAAAAATATAATCTCTCTTAACTTTTTTTTTTTTCTGTTTGTTATTAAATAAAATAGAAACACTTATATATGGTTAACTGAATTAACACCGTATATCAGGTAATTTTTGACTTGTTTACCTGAAATGGGCCCACCCACTTGAGTTCCATTTTACCTCTTAAATGGGACCACATAAAGTAAATGAGACTGATTCGACTTGTATTAAAAAATTACTGATTTTGATCTGTTATCCAACCTGTCTGTTTTACTAGAGTAAATTACAGGAATGGTCCCTATGATTTGGGGTAATTTGAATGTTTGGTCCCTAACTTATTTTTTAATTCGGAACGTCCCTACTGTTTTTTTTTTTTGTGCGCTTGGTCTTGTCTTACCTAAAGAGATTATTTTGCCCTTGATTTTTTAATTTATTTAAAAAAATACACCCAACCCCACTTTACCTTACCTTACATTTCCCATCTTATTTAAATAAATTAAAAAATCAAGAGCATAATAGTCTTTTTTTAAGTAAGACATGGATCAAGCGCAACAAAAACAAATGGTATGGACCTTCCGAGTTAAAAAAATAAGTTAGGGGCCAAACGTACAAATTACCTCAAACCATAGGGACCATTTGTGTAATTTACTCATGAAATACTATCTTATCATATAATCATAAATCACAATGATCTCTTTTCTTTATCTCTAGAAATGCACAAACGAGACAACTTTCGCATCCCCTTCCTGTACTAAGAGCTCGTGAGATTGACGAGTGGTCAAGAAGTCAAGATTATAAATCTCTCATGAAACGTGCAATTACGAAAAACTCTTTGCAAGAAGTTTAACAAGTCATGGAAATATCGAATACAATTTAAAGTACATATGAGGTGATTTACACTTGCTTTTAAAACCTCAAAAAATTTGAAAATCGGTTTATGAATATGTACAACTACCCTGGTCTTGATTGGTTAAGAATTTAGCTGCTAAAAATTTAGCGACCAATCGTTACCACTTTATGAAGTTTTACTTACTCCGATTATATAGAAATGTACAAAAAGTTTTACACACTCGATTATACAAAAATGTACAAATTCAGATATCGTGTTACAACACTTTAGCTTGTGGTATGATGTAATTCAAATTTCTATGTTTATTATGTTAGGTATTTTTTGGATCAATTAATAAAGGTATATGAATTATGTTATTATTAAATTGAAAATTCAACATGGAATTACAAAGTGTAGTAAACGATGTTATGTTTAATAGACTAAATGAAAAGCTAATTGGTAGTTGATAAAATAAGGTTTAGTAAAAAAAAACGGACTAGCTGATAAACTAGTTAAAAATATAAAATGTGATAAAATGATATGTTGCAAAATGAGTTTTTTTATAATTAATAAAAATGTATTTTGGCCGATTTAAAAAAAAAGATCAAACAAGTTTGTTGAAATGCTACTATGAGTAGTTTAAAAATCTATTTTATTTAGAGTAAATTACTGATATAGTCCCTGTGGTTTGCTTGAAATTACATGTCTAATCCCTAACTTTTATTTTGCACTCGGACCATCCCTATAGTATGGTTTTGTTGTGGTCTTGGTCCCTATTAGATGTAAAAAGACTATCATGTCCTTGTCAATTATTTTTTAATTTGTGAATTACCAATTAACTACTTTGGGTCCCACATAAAAGTAGAGAAATGTTATTAAATTAACAAGGGCTACTTCTCCCATCCCACGACATGCTTTTCCCTCTGCCCTTCGTCTTCTCCGGCTATTCTACCGGTGCTCTTGTCGGATTCTGTAGATGAACAGCTCAAATCCTAATCTAAAATTCATTAGACAAAATTGCAAAAATGGTCCCTATGGTATGCATTTTTTGGGGGTTTTGGTCCAAACCACGAGTTTTTTGGTTTTGTGGTCCTTTTGGACTGGTTTGTTTGTGAGAATGGTCCCTGTACTTAACACCCGTTAAAAAGAATCCGTTAACCCCCTCATGTGCCTTGCACGTGAGGGTATTTCTGTCTTTTTACTTATAGGGACCATTTTTGCATACGAATGTCAACGCTTCCTTCTACCTTTTATCCCTCATTTACAATCCCAAACACCCGTCAACTCTCCATCTCCCTCCTTCTTCATTCTGCTCCATAAACCTGCAAAAAAACATCCTTCGTTATCCAAAGAACCTAATCGAAGCAAAAGGAGACAAGGTCATACGTTAAAGTCGAAATGGTGTACGTAATGTGGCAGATCAGACCAAAAAATGAAGTTGTCGACGTATCATCCTTATATGGTAAGTTGCTCTGTTATCTTAAACATTCCTATTTTTCATTTTACCCTTGATTTATACTAAAATCCGCCAAATTTTGACTTTGTTATCATGTACAATTTTGACTTGTAGCGGGTTCACCCACATGGTTTAGTATTAAGCTTCATCATGGTGGGAAGTTTACTAAGTTACCTGAAATAAAGTATATTAGGAGGTGAAGTGCGTTATGTTGATTATGTGGACATATATGAGTTTTCTGTACATGAACTTGATGCCATAATGCTTGACCTAGGTTACCCAGACCCACGGATGATTGAATTGACTGATGAATCCCCAGTGATATACTACCATTTCAGGATACCCAATGGTGACTTTCAATTTGGTCTTAGAGCTTTAGGGAATGATCAGGATGTTATCAATCTTTCTAAATTTATTCGAAATAACAAGTTGATTGAGGTGTACACAGAACATGGGAAGACAAATCTACTCACTTACTTCATGTCTCCCAATGCAAAGGGTAAAGTTGTCATTGAGGAATTACCAGAAAAATGATGATCAAGGGGCTGAATATGAGGCTGAAGTTGTAGAATCTCCATTGAGAAATATGAACCATGTCAATGATGAGCCAATTGGTGAGTACATGTCTTTGATTCTTTTTGGGAGTAAAAGTGATGCATTCTCACCAGAGTATAGAAGGGGTAGAGTTGGGAATTCAAAAAGAGGGGAAGGTTCTTGTAGCAAGAGGCTTAATTTAGAGGATATTGATGATTTAAAAGAGAAGGAAAACACTAATGAGGGTGTTAAGGAGGTTCAGGAGGCTGCAGCTGTTGTTGAAGGATGCTACAAGCCATTTACTTCAAATATTGCTAATGTAGGGGATGAGATGATTGGGGTTCAGGATAATGACCATATTGAAGGATGCTACAACACCCCACCTGTTAATGATGATGAACAATATAATGAGCTTTTTGATAACCTTATGGAAAATTTACTTGGAAGTGATGAGGATGTTGAAGAGTATGAAGGGGATGATGAATCTGAAGAGAGTGATGAAGAGTATGAAAAGGATGAAAGTGATGATCAGGATGGGAAAAACTCAGAAAATGAAGATAAATGGGATGACATAATGGATGAGGAGAACAATATAGAAGATGTTGATGTGGACATGGCAGACTTCTGTCTAAATGTTGAAAGTGATGTTGAAGGAGCATGTATTAATGATGGTCATGAACCTGAAGATATGGAAGTGATCAACAATAAGGAGTTCGAATCATTGGATGAAGGATCAGACCAAGACAGAGAAAGAAGAGCTCTTATAAAAAATTTGGGAAAAGAAAAAAGGTGCAGCCTTGAGTCAGTACATATACAGTCATTCTCAGTGGGACAAAAGTTTAAAAGTAAAAAAGAATAAAGGAGTTAATTGATGTGCATGCACTAGAAACAAGAAGGAATCTATTCTTTAAAAAAATGACAATCAAAGGCTTAGGGCACAGTGCAGAGGAGTTGTACCTGTCATCAATAAAGGTCAAGTGGGGACTCAACCTACCACTTCAAAAAGCAAGGGCAAAGAAGTAAAGACACAAAAAGAAACATGTGGTTGGTATATACATGCATCTAGGTCAAACCCCGAATCTGACTGGTTGATAAGGACCTTAAACCAAACTCATACATGCTTACAAACAAGAAAACTAAGAGCTTGTACTGCTTCTTTAATCTGCAAGAAAATCATAGATCAAGTTGAGGCAGATCCGAAGATTCCTTTGAGAGCCATACAAGATCACTTTCAAAAGACCTACCAGGTGGGTATTTCGATGGATAAGGTGTTTAGGGCAAAAGATATGGCAAGAAAGCATGTAATTGGGGACTACACAAAACAGTTTGAATTGTTGAGGGACTATGCTCTTGAACTTCAAGCTACAAACCCAGACACACCAGTCAAAATAGATGTGTGTCCTAATGGCAACCCTGCATCCCCAACAAGGCAGTTTAGAAGGATTTATGTATGCTTGGGTCCACTGAAAAAAGGTTTCAAGGCATGTCTTAGAGACTTAGTAGGTTTGGATGGTTCCTTCATGAAAGGCCCATTCCCTGGTCAGGTTCTTACAACAGTTGGTCTAGATTCCAACAATGGAATTTATCCCTTGGCCTATGCAATTGTTGAGTCTGAAAACACAACTAGCTGGAAGTGGTTTTTAGAAAACCTTGGGGATGACTTGGAGCTTGGGAGCAACTCAAACTATACTTTCATAAGTGACAGGCAAAAGGTAAATTGCAGTTCATCAATTGATCATTTAGATTGTGTTTTTTTACCAAGAAATTAGTTCTATTTATTGTCTGTTGAGTCATGTAGGGATTACAAATTGCAGTTGATCAATTGTTTCCCAATGCTGAGCATAAATATTGTATTAGACATATTCATGACAATATGAGAAAGAAGTGGGGGAAAACAGAGTACATGGACCATTTATGGAGGTCTGCATCAGCAACCACCATTCCTGAGTTTGAGCATTTGAGGAAAGAGTTTAGTGAGTATGATAAGGAGGCATGTCAATGGTTGAAGTAGATTCCTCCTGTACATTGAGCAAGGAGTCATTTCTCAGGTAATTGTATATGTTTGCATATGGTAATGATTATGTGTTTCAGTTATTTATCAACATTAATTGTATGTTATTGTAATGTGCAGGAAGAGCTTTTTCTGATGTGTTGATTTCAAACATGTGTGAAGTGTTTAATGGGAAGATAGAGAAAGGCAGGGACAAACCTGTAATTTCATGTTTAGAGTTCATTAGGGAGTATCTAATGAAGAGGATATGCAATGTCATGAAGGCAATGAAGAAGGATAAAGGTCCACTAACACCTACAGCAACAAACATCCTAGATGCAAAGAAAAAAGGTGCTTCACAATATATTGCTAGGTGGAATGGGGCAAACAAGTATCAAGTCACTGGAGTATTGCAAGATCAACATGTGGTGGATGTTAGGAACCAAACCTTCACTTGTAGAAAGTGGGAATTAGTGGGAATACCTTGCAGGCATGCAATTGCAACTCTGAATGAAATGATCGAAGACCCTGAGGCTGAGCTTGACATTTACAAGTAGGTACATAAGGTGTATTGGCTAGAGACATGGCAAAAAGCTTATTCATTTAAGGTGGAACCAATTAAAGGGAGACCCATGTGGCCTAAAAGTAATTGTCCAACAAAGCTAACCCCTCCTCCACATCACACTCAGGTGGGAAGGCCTAAGAAAAAAAGAAGACAAAGTGAGGGTGAAAGGTTAAGCAAAAGGCAGAAGGCAAGTCAAGGTGATGGAGTCAATGAGATGCAAGGAGAAGATTCCCAAGGGCCAACAAATGATGGAGTGAAGAAGCTATCAAGGAAACATATCAGTGTTACTTGTAGCAAATGCAAGAATAAGGGACACAACTCTAGGACTTGTAAAGGGCAAGGTGGGAATCAATCCAAGAAGTGATTTTGGTTGTTTGTTGTGGTGCAATGACTATTTAGTTGGTTGTTTTAAAAAACTGTTTGTTTTTGAAAACTTTAGTTATGGTTTGATGATGTGGTTATGTATGGTGCACAGACACTTGTATGCTTAATTTGGTAATGGTTTTTGGTTCCACTCATGTGGTTAATGAAATGTGCATTTTGGTCAATTTATGACACGTATTTTGGTAATGTACTTTTGTTACATTTTGGTTCTATTTATGTGCTTATATTTGACAATTGATACACATTTTGAACACATTTTCACACTTGAATATCATTTATATTATTAACAACATTGGAATTCATTACAAACATGATGAAGTCAACTTACAACAAAATTATACAATTTTTACCCTGCATCACTTGTTCAAC